GGGGACAGGGGGACGGCGCAGGGATGAGGGGATGGCGTGGGGACAGGGGGACGGTGCAGGGATGAGGGGATGTGGCAGGGAGAAGGCGACATGGCTGGGACGGGGACGGCGTGGGGTTAGGGGGACGTGGTGGGGATAAGGGGGACGCAGCGGGGACAAGGGGACAGCGGGGGTACGGGGGACGTGGCGGGGACAGCGCAGGGACAAGGGGATGCGGCCAGGACAAGGGGACGCGGCAGGGACAGGGGGACACGCCGTGGGGACACGGGGACACGGTGGCCGGGGCTGCCCCGCTGAGGTCCCCGTGCAGTTCTCGGCGCTGCGGCGGGAGCTGCCGCCCAACGTGCACCTGCTGACGCTGGCGCCCGGCGACGGCGACGGGGACACGGTCGTGCTGCGGCTCGAGCACCTCCTGGAGAAGGGCGAGAGCCTCAACGGCTCCCAGCCCGTCACCCTGGACCTGCTGGTGAGCACCGGCACCGTGTGTCCCCTGTCACCATTTCTGTCCCCTGCTTGTCCCCATGTCTCGGTGTCCCTCATCCCTGTGTCCCCCTCTCTCCATGTGTATCCCTCTATTGTCATTTGTGTACCTCGTCACGGTTTGTCTCCCATCCACGTCCCTCATTGCCACCTGTGTCCCATCTGTGTCCCCCCATCCCCAGTCTGTTCCCTGCACTTGTCCCCCATCTCCCTCCCCTCCTGGGGTGCCGAAGAGCTCCCAAAAGGGTGGCTCTGACCCCCCCAAACCTCCCGCGATTCCCCCCATCGTGGCGCTCCGGCCRGGAAGGAGGCGGCCACTGATGCCACTTGGTCCCTTTCCAGGGTCTCCTCTCCCTGTCACTTTGTCCCTTTTCCAGGACCTCTTCTCCGCCTTCACCATCACGGCGCTGCAGGAGATGAACCTGGCGGCCGACGAGCGGCGCGAGGCCGTGAGGCGCCTCGTGTGGACCCCGGACACAGGTAGACAGGGGCGGCGAGGGGACGTCCCCGTGTCCCCCGTTGTGTCCCCATGTCTGTGTCCCCATCCCCATGTCCCCATGTCCCCATCCCCACTCGTGTCCCCGTGTCCCCATCCCCATGTCCCCATTCCCACTCATGTCCCCGTGTCCCCATTCCCACTCGTGTCCCTGTGTCCCCGCTCATGTCCCAGGTCCGGCGCCGCCGCGGCCGCCCCCGAAGCTCGATCCCCGCCGCGTCACCCTGCAGCCCATGGAGATCCGGACCTTTGTGGCCACCGTGGAGTACGGGGAGGCTGCGGGCGGCCCCGCGGGCCGGTGACGGCTGCCTCGGCTCGGCCCCGGCCCCAGCACCGTAACAATAAACAAACACGGGACCCGGTTCCGGGAGCTTTTACTGGGAGCAGGAGGCGCCGTCGGGGCTGGGAGCCGCTGCCTCGTGCGAGTAGCGGCACCGGGAGCCCAGGGAGCAGCTTCCCTGTGGACGGGGGGGACGCGGCTGAGCCGGGGGGGCCCYGGAGCCCCTCGGAGCAGCCCGGCCCCCCCGGAGCTCCGGCACCCACCTCCTTGAAGCGTTTGCAGGGGAAGTTCCTGAGGGTGCTGCCGTCGTCCGGCCGCTCCGTCCGCTTGTTCTGGTGCCGCTGCCGCTTCTCCTGCAGGGATGGGGAGATGCCCCCGCTGGGGGGGGGAGGGGGTGAGGGGGGGTGCCCTGAAGGAGGCATGAGGAACCCCCCTCCCCAGGATTCCCCTGGAGGGGGAGCTCCTTCTCCACCCCTTGGGAAGGGCAGCGGGAAGCTCCCGGCTCTCCCTGCTGGGGGTGTTGGAGCTGGGAGCTCAACCCCGGTACGAGACAGCGGAGAATCCGTCGCCCTTACCCAGGCTTGGCCCTGGCCTTGGGCCCCCAAAAGGCCTCGGGGTTCTCGGGGAAGCGCTTGAGGCCCTTCTTGCGGGAGCTGGGGTTGGCGTCGTCGCGCAGCGCGAAGGAGGCCTGCAGGCTGCAGGGGGGACGGGGGGGTCACTGGGGGCCCCCCCGGCCACCTCTGGGGTCAGGGGGGTCACTGGGGCCCCCCGGCCGCCCCGGGGACAGAGCGGGGCCCTTACGTGGGCTCCACAGCCAGGATGCGGGCGGCCGGGCTGCCCTCCGCCAGCCGCTCGCGCTTCACCGGGTGGAGCTTGGCCTGCACGGGGGACAGAGGGGACATCAAGTGACGTCCCGGGGGACAGGGGGGACATCAAGCGACGTCCCGGGGCCGCCGCCGGCCCCTCGGCCCCTCACCCAGCAGCGCATGATGTCCCACAGCGCCGCGGGCGGCGCGTCCGTCTTGACGGCGTTCTTGCACGCGTGGGACAGCGAGACGCGGTAGCCGGCGTGGAGCAGCGCGGACCTGGGGCACAGGGCGGCGTGGGGACACGGGGGGACACAGAGGGGACACGGGGGGACGCGGGGGGCCGCACCTGAGCTGCAGCAGGGACGGCGTGTTGCAGTGCAGGGTGCTGCTGAGCCCGTCCAGGGTGTAGTAGAGGGGCACGTCGCTGAGCTCCTGCCGCGCGGAGGGGACGCGGGGTCAGCGGCTCCGGATGCGTCCGGAGCCGGGATGATGGAGCTGGCCCCAGGATGCAGGAGCTGCCCCTGTCCCCATCCCCGGGATGCCGGCGCCAGCCCCATCCTCAGGATGCAGGAGCTGTCCCTGTCCCCATCCCCGGGATGCCGGAGCTGCCCCTGTCCCTGGGGTGCCAGAGGCATCCCCAAGTCCTGGGGATGTCCCCGTCCCCATCCTGGGATGCCGGAGCTGTCCCTGTCCCCCTCTTCGGGATGCCAGAGTCATCCCCATCYCCGGGATACCGGAGCTGYCCCTGTCCCCATCCCCRGGATGCCGGMGCCAGCCCCATCCCCRGGATRCMGGAGCTGTCCCTGTCCCCATCCCCRGGATGCCGGAGCCAGCCCCATCCCCAGGATGCAGGAGCTGTCCCTGTCCCCATCCCCGGGATGCCRGMGYCAKCCCCATCCYCRGGATRCMGGAGCTGYCCCTGTCCCCATCCCCGGGATGCCGGCGCCAGCCCCGCTCCGGGCTCCCGGAGCCGCCCGTGCCCCGGGACGCTGCAGCCACCCCGTGTGTCACCTCGGTGATGACGCTGAGCACCCCGCGCATGCGCTGCTCCGTGCCGAAGCGCCCGGGGCTCCTGTCCAGCGCCGCCAGCACCCGCCGCACGAAGGCCACGTCGTGCAGGGGCTCTGCCCACATGGGACCCCCCAGCTGCGGGTGACACGGGGGGGTCAGCAGCGGTGCAGGGGGACACACAGCGGGGACAGGGGGGACACGGACCCACCTGGTGCCGCTGCTGGCAGAACTCGCACGTGGGGCCCACGGGTGGCCCCGTGGCCACCCCGTACTTGAAGCTGCAGACGAAAAACGGGGGGACAAATGATGAGGGGGGTGTCAGTGAGAAGGGACGGGGGGACTCCAAGGCCACCCCCAGACCCCGCCACACCTGTCCCCGTGGCTGGTGGCCTTGCCGAGGCGCTGCAGGTGGTGGGTCCCGCAGCCCACGCAGTGATAAACCAGCGCCTGCTTACTGGAGAGGGGGACGGGGCCGGTGTCACCAAGGGGGCGTCACCGGGGGTGTCACCGCGTCCCCGCGCCCGGCCGGCGCCCCTCACCTGGCCGAGGCCTTGGCCGCGGCCTGGCCGGCGTGCACGCGCACGAAGACGCGCACGTAGAAGTCGGCGCTGACGGCGAGCAGCGGCGTCACCGAGCGCTGGTGGCAGTTGGCGTGCAGGTCCAGGCTGTGCAGCACCAGGCGCAGCGCCTGGGCACACGGGTGTCGCGTGGGGACACGAGTGTC